CAGACGGTGTCTTAGACCGTGGTCTGAACCAATGGAGCTAACTTTAGTATGACTTAGAGAGATAGTCTTGTTCTGGATCAAACTGAACCATGCATTGTTTAGTTTGCATGTGTGACAACAGTTTTTGGATAGTTTGTTCTTTCTGACCAATTGTTGGAGGTTGAGACAACATTAAACAATAGAAGAAGAAACTGAGTTGGCTAGGGTCACAGGATTTTTTATTTGAACAGCAAGGACATTCATTTGGCGCACTTGAACTAGGGTTGAGTACGGCACAGGAAGTTGTTAATGTTGGTAGTGTTGAGGAATTTTCGTGTATCCTCACACATTACTGTATATGCCACCATATACTGTATTATGAATATACATTGTATATTACATTATATCTGTACACCATTAAGAGAAGAGTTCTCTAATTCCACAGATACTCCCTTCTCTCTCTAAGCAGTACCCAAGGTCAAGTTATAGATAAAGGACAAACCATCAACCTTCTCAGATGCCCCAGACAGAGAGGCACCAATTTCAACTCTCACCGTCTTCAACTCTTTTGCATATTACATCAGTATCCAATAGGATGCAAAAACCTGCATGTTGCATAGAGAGTGACAGCAATTCTAGCCATTCATGGATGTGCTGTTAGAATGGGTGACGCAGTAAGAGGAAGATATACAGGGGTTGCTGTGGGAGACAATTGCTCATGTTACTCTGTTAACATGTGTATATTGTTCCACCTTCTGGTTTCCTTGATGCATCAAGTCTACATTAAAATCTTCTGCACAAGACACCAGCTGCTGCCTGAGTTCTCCTTTCACCAACTTCCAGAAAATCTCCATAACAGGTAGTAATACCATAATATAATAAAATATAATATAATATACAATTACCATGGCAATGAAATTAACAAATTATTTTCTCCATTCAAATGGAGACTTCTACCAATCAATGTCATATTAGTAAAGTATAGGTAGACACATCCCATGTAGGTGATGACAACAGGACATATATATTATATACTGCATTATATTGTGATGTACAATCTAAACTAACTGGATCAAACATAGACCGTGTAACAAAGACATGGTTCAGACCATGGTGTCATAGGTACGTGTTGGAGGCTTCAATGGAAATGCTGCTCATTCACTTTGAATGGGGTAACGTCATGCTGAGATGCATCATAGTTCTGTTGCTTGTGTTGGGTGCAGTAGTAGCTGAGAAAAACCTCAGCATTATATCATAGCAACCTCAGCGCAAGTGTAAGCTAATCAAATTTCACAGGTTTACGTTTGAAACTGTAATCGGTTGTTGTCATTATGATGATTGCACCAGCACCAAGTGTCAGGCAACATGTACATGTGCTCAGTATGAGAAGCAGAAGTTGTAAGGACTGGTTTTCTGTTGCTGTCTATCGGACAAAGGATGAATAAATGTCCCCTTCCCCCTCCACGGAGTGCCTTATCTGATGAGACCATCAGGTTGCTGTGAGTCTGACAGTCCCAGTGTGCGGTGGCTCACTCAACGTGGTGGTATCGATTACTGTCCCTGATTTAATCTCCCTCCTCTGTTTCACTGTCCACCTCCACTCAATCTCAGCAGCAGTGGGAAACACTGACAGCTCTATCAACCTGCTCAATACACACCAGCAGCAGAGAGAATATAGACCAAGAAAAGAGGTGGACAGAGAAAGTCAGAGAACAGAAGAGAAAAAGACGGAAATATGAAGGCTTGGTGAATCAGAAAAAGGTCAATGTGAAAATTTGCGGCGCCAAAACAAGTTTGAAAACAACCAGTTTGAGAGGTGACCTTGTCCCATGTATGTACTGGTCTACGAGTGACTCGGGCCAGGTGGTTCTGTCAGGCTGTCAGGGCCGAGTGGGTCAGAGAAACAACATTTGCTACTGTGCTCTTGCTTTAATAAGACTCATTAATATACTGCATGTGTCACCAGCAGTGTCTGACTGCGTCCCCTCTGGGCTGGGCTAGTTTTGGCATGATGTGAAGTAAGGACACACACACACACACACACACACACACACACACACACACACACACACACACACACACACACACACACACACACACACACACTTACTGAATTTGTCTTGTGAATCAAGGCTGAGTCTTCACACTGCCTGTGAACTCATGTCACTTACTCATTGGTGTGTGTGTGTGTGTATGTGATGAATTGGCTTGTATGGTGCATTATGCCTGTAAAAGAAGGTGTATGGTATCGATGCTGGGTGGATATAACTCAGGTTTATTGCCTCATTTTAATATCATCAGATGTTAGATCTGATGGTCAGGATGCAAATGCACTATGAACAAGTGAGATGTTAGCTGCTTTGCAGGGAAAGTTTTGCAGCAAATTCTACTGTTTTCCCTTTTAACCATAGACAATTCAATGATTAAGATTCAACCTTTTCTTTTAGCTCAATTACTTGATGATGAGCCTGGAAACTCTCCATCAAAACCAAGGATTTAAAGGAATATAATGACGATTGAGGAAATACTTCTATATGCTCTTTCTTGCTGAGACTTAGATTAGAAGATCAACGCCACTCTCTATCTGCTCAATGCGAACATCAAGCTATAGCAGCTTATTTGATCATCTTAGCATAAAGACTGGAAAGTGCTAGCACAGGTTTGTCCAATGGTTAAAAAACAAACTCTGCACTGCTGTTGTTTTAATGGCTTGCACTTAACTTGTTTTAACCATAGAGTGTATCTGAAACTTTGACTCAGACCTTAGTGTAACTAAAATTATTAATTTATCATCCGATCCCAAGCTCCTCCAGTCTGTAGACCAAAGTTTCCTTGGCAAAACACCAAAGTCCAAATTGCCCCTTGATGCAATGTGTGTGTGTGTCTGTGTGTGTGTGTGTGTGTGTGTGTTTGTGCGTGCATAGTGTGAAGAACTTCTAGTGGTTGTTAAGACAATACAAGTACTACATAAATGCAGTCCATTTACCACTTTATTATTTTTTACTATAAAATGTCTATGAACATTTAATCAGTATCAGCATTTCAACAGCATGTCAGTATTTTGTATTAGAGCCAAATGTAATCAGAGATCAAATATTTAAACTATTTGAAACGACTCACCCACACTTACTTTGGCTTCAGGGTATTACATCAGCTGCATTAAATAAATGAAATAATACATAAATAAAATAAAGAGTTGACCACTGTTTTGCTCCTCATAGACGAGGTGCATGGGAGTCCTAGCATGTAGTGAGGAACACATGACAGCTCGATACCTGGCACCCACAGAGTCTCACTGAGACCCCAGTGGAGGCGATTCTACACCATCTGGGCAAACCTCAAAGCCAAGAAGATGATTGCTATCAGCAGGATTACACCTTTATTAGATTAGCCTTACATTGTTTACACGATTGTGGATTCTGTCCATGTCTTGAACAAACACTTCTGAGAAACAGTGGGATGTTGAAGTGATCAACTCAATTGCTGCTAAAACATTACGCTCATTGGGATATAATTGTGTTACTGCAGGAGAAAATCATAAGGAGAATCTTACAAAGATGTTTTCCTCAGTGATACACTGTGGTTTTGTAACAACCTGGTTATGGGAACCATTTGAACACAACAGTCCTTGCCTCAAATTAAAAGTTTTTTGTGCACTGTGGTGCCGCTTGATTGACTTTAAGGGGACTGTTGGGCCTCGGCAGAGGTATGCGTTCCCCTGTGTGTCATAGTTGGGGCTTACATTGTATCTTTCAGTATTCTTTGAGGTAATGATGGATGATGAGTTGCACATTAAAATGCACTTTTAATATTTGACTTCAGAGACAGAAAATTATCTGCATCACAAAGTAAGAAAGTCATGTGGTTTAATGAGATTAAACTGGTTTCAGGATAGTGTTCAGTTAAAATATCCAAATTCTTCTGTGATCAGTGCAGCCTAATCAGTTTTGTAGCCACAGTGAGAATGGAGCCATTTTGCCACTGTTGCAGCTCATTTTTAGTGCCACACCAACGAATGGAGACGTGATCAGAGGAGGGAAATGCTCTGCCAACGTCTGTCTCCTCTATGCCAGTGCATGGGGAGAAGGGAAAGGTATTGGGCCGAGCCAACTTTCCACTCCAGCTGGAGAGCCGGTGAGAGACATTGTTTCTCTCTGCTCCTACTGTCAGCCCTAGTAGTAGCTTTTCCGTGAGACTTGATCGCCCACTATTTCAAAATAGCATTGAGCCGTCTTGCCAAAAGCTTAAATGGCCTAAATGCTGGAGTCCATTACACTGCCTGGAAAGATGAGGCATTTGTTCTCGCAGCCTTTAAAGCATTCACCTACTATTTTCTCATAAATATGGAGCATCCAATCTTAGTAAATAACAGAAAAATACTGTTACCACTAAACAATCCTCAGATTTATACATAGATGTGAATCAAATTAGGACTTTAGTTCATGTGTCAGTCTTTCTCTGGTGGCAGCTGATCATGCTGAACATGAAAGCAGCCTCCTACAGTGACTCCCTTCATTGCCATGTTAAAAGGAGTCCATCAGTATTCTACTCACACCTACAGCTGATGGTCAAGTTCACAGAGCTTCACTGTCCTCATCTCCCTCAATGCTGCCTCTGACCACACTTACCCTTTAGTGCTGGCCTTTCATAGGTGTAAACTACCGCCCTCTGTTGGCCATGTCAGGGAGTTCAACCAGCAAAATCAAATCATCCAAACACTGCTTGGAACTCCACTCAGTGATCAATATATATGCATGAGAAGCAGTGATGTAATTATTCGTTCATATAAACAATGTAGCTTAGTATATAAGCTTTAGTGTTACTTTGATGTTACATTGATTTCAAAAAGTGCATTACATTGGAAACTGTGCTAAGATAATATAATCCTATCCCAAGACAAGGACATTTGCTATCCAAAATTGTGACACGTACATATGTGCAGAGAAATTGTAAATGTTTGTATTTTATGTAAAGTTATGTTGAAAAACAAAATCTGTCTATCTCTACTGTGTTCTTCTTAGGTCCAACTGGCTGAAGCCGTGCTGCGGTCGCCGAGTGGCCCTGTGGCAAGTCTGTCTGCTCAGCGCCGGCTTCAACTGTGTCCTGGTGGCTTGTGTCATCCTGGTGGTGCTGTTCCTGTCCCTGGAGCTGCTCATAGACACCAAACTCCTACAATGTAAATAGTCTGCACTTCTTTAACCTTTATTTCCTTCAAGGATGTGTTTGCTGAGCATGCATGTCTTTCTCTTTTAATACACCTAGTGATGCTCGTACACCTGGGAGGCGTCCACTTCAGCACAGCAGCAGCTCAGCAGCTCCACCAGAGCTGTGGGGGGTTACATGCTGTTGTGTCCTTGAACATAGAACAGTGGTTTTATTAACTTCACTGGTTCTGTTCCAGCATTGGGACTTATTATTCTACACAAAGTTTAAATGTTACACATTGTTATGGTTGAAATGATAAGAAATAAAGAAGCACACACCACAGTTTTTTACTGCCATACATTTATTTTACAATTTTTATTTTTTTTATTTTTAGATATTAAACTAGAAGTTCCCAAAGTTTTGGTTGTGACCTCTTCAACTTCAGCTGCTCAGGCTACTCAATTTCCCATGTCACATTTCAGATACCTAACAAGACATTTCCTATCAAAACTTATATAATTAACTAATTTAAATAACTGCTCGAGGCCCCATCAGTTGAAATTATCCAATATTTTCCAAGAAAGCAAACAATAAACACAGAATACTATAATTTAGGGCAGCTTTTTGTAAATTCCTACACCAATAATGGTATATATATACTTTTATCTATTTAGATTTGTCCTGTGACCCTTTGGGGTTTTGGAACCACAGGAGAAATATACCTGAGTTAATCTAAAATAGGTGGATAATTTATAAATTAACACACATCAATGTTGCACCAGTGTCAACAATAATCAAATAATGTCTAATATGGGCATTTTACTTTGATTCCAGAACTTTTACTTACTAATGGATTATTTTTACTTTGTTGTATAAGTGAAGGACAATTGTGTGCAGGCTTCCACAGTCATGTGTGTGCATTTAGTGCCCACTCTCTCCATCACTGATGTGTGCAGTCTTGCCCGTCACAGAGAGGCTGGAGCCGATGTTAAATGGCTGTGATGGCGAGTGATGGAGAGGTGATAATGAATAACCAAGAGTAACCAAGAACAACCAAGTCTCTCTTCCGTGGCGGCGGGCACGCATCCCCATCGATTACTGGCTGGAGTCCAGATACCTGAGTCTCACTGTGGGGACTCTGCTGTAATCCAATGATTTGTTTTCCTGCCAGGTTCGCAAGACAAATAGAGGAGTAGGCAGTCATGCAGGAGCGACAGAGGGTGCAGATAGATTAGGGGTCTATAAAACCTGGGTAAATACAGGGTGACACTGTAGATTGATATGGAAAGAAGAGCTGTGAGGGCAGTGATACTGGTGAGAGTTCAAAGTCATATTCACATCGGAACCAGTTTTTCTTTCTGCTACATCCTCTTGAAAACAATATAAAAAGAATGATATTTCTCCTGAATGACAGGACAAGAATTTCTTGGACCATTTGTTGTGTATTTTTCTTTTTTTTTGTTGTGTAAGTTTTGCAGCTTAACATTCTGACCTTTTTTCCTCTCGTACCAGTTTCCAATGCTTTCCAGTTTGCCAGCATTATCCACTGGATCAGCCTTATCATCCTGTCACTCTTCTTTTCAGAGGTAAGATGTGTGTATCAGGCTCCATTGAACCTTATTTCTAGTGTCACTATTTATAAAAAGCTTTTCTGGATTTGGGCTTAAACAGTCGCTGGTTGTATCAAATACCATGGTGATAATCCCTGATGGTTAGTTGTACTGTTTCCATCTTTAATCTCTGTAATTACCATGGTGATTTGGTTGATACTGGAACAGCATGACCTAACAATCAGAATACACTGGTCCCAAATAACGTGCCTTTAACAAGACAGACATTTGGCATTGATGTCTGCACTTGACGTAACAAGTTGTCGACCTTCTCTCTCCAGCTCCTGCTCCACTTGTTTTGGATTGTTGTTCGATGTCATTAACACCTGACATTGGATTTGTTTACATATATTATTGTTAAATCCAAAAACTTCGTTCCTAGCGGATGTGTTGTTTTTGTATACACATTTGACTAACTTGTTTCAGGTTTCATTTAAACCTGTATAGGGAGGATTTCGTTGTAAAACAAAAAGCTTCTTTTGTGAGCTTAAACTTTCCCTCTTCGGTGTTATACATTTGATATGGTGTTGGGGTTACATGATTTTCTTAAATATTCAACTTTGTGAAATTGCTTCAGTTTGCATATCAGTAGTTCAGTTAGGACCATTTGTCAAAGAAAAGTTTATTTACCTCTGCATAATTTACATTCGTGGTTTGGCTCTGTTCTGGGACCTCCCAGAGAGAGAGAGCACACCTCTCTGTCCTTCCTTGTGCCTACATGGAAAGCTTAAGGCAGGGAGAGAAGCAGCAAGAACCCCCAAGAGAACAGAACAGAGCGGTCAACAGAAATGACACGGAATAAATTAAATAAAGTATGAAAAAGTGGGAGCTTCGGTAGAGGTGGTTTGCAAAATGGCTTGCAGTGGAAGCAGCAGGTGAGCAGGCTGAAGAAGCTTCATTAATGCACCTTGTCTGAGCTTTGCAAATTAATGTGTGGAAGGAACCAGCTGATGTGGGCTGGCTTTCAGATCAGCTGCTGTAGCTGTCAGCTGAGCTGAGCTTGACTTTGTCTGAACTAACTCAGTTTTTATTACCACAATACAATATTTTAACATCATCATCATCTCTAGTCACTAGAGGACTTCATCAGGTCCCTGATACTTGAACCCACTCATCACATTTCTTTATAATAGATAGATGGATTAAACTAATCATTCTTTCTTTAACTTTAGACTATGCCCTGACTCCAGGGGGGACTAGAGGAGGTGGCTACTATTTAATTTCCACTCTACTCAATTATCCTTCAGTCTATCTCTATAGTCTAAGCCTCAGAAAAGCTACCTCAAGACTGGTTGGCTGAAAATTAAAATTTTTAATTAGTCTTAATAAAGTTAGAACCATTGTTTGATGTAATAATGTCTTATCATCCGTCTGGAATTGTGAAAAACAAAATGGTCAGGGGAGAATTTGGCCTACAGGCCACTCCAGTGCAAACCAATTACCCTGACAGCCTCAGCCCCAACACCCTAAACCAAACATTAATTACTAGTGAGCCAGCAGGAGCAATAATTACAGCTGAGTTAATGAGCGGTGAGGATGGGGTTACAGTAACACGATCCATTCAGACACCTCGCCCACTGACATCATACAAGAAGAATCATCCGGGAAACGGCGTTACATAGATATATCTTATTACTGGGTGGTCCCTGTGCACCAATCAGGGAGCAGGATTTGAATATGTGGGCAGAGCCAGAGCAGTTCTCATTTGACAAAGCACTGTTGTCCAACATGTGCTGCACATGATGGATTAGCAGGACCACTTGTACATGACACGCCACGCTAATTAGATTGTTAATCAATGGGCCTCTTCAACAAAGAAGCCAGCAGCATCTATCCAGAGCAGAATGTAGAGTTTGATAGGTGATCAGATTACAAGTGTTGTGCCGCTGTAGGTCAATGATCAATATCAGGGAACAGTTATAGCTTCATCAAGGAAGAGTGTTCTGCAGAACTAAATTAGCTTTAAGAACTTTTGCAGGAAAAAGACTGATCTGACGAGTCAAAAGCAAATTACACTGTATGATTACATGCATTTACTAGTTTTATTCCAGCATTCTTGCATTGTTATCACTTACAGTATTTAGAAATAAAGCAGGTTAAAGAAAAAAGAGTGTGCTACATAGTGCCTCATTAGTTTTCACTCTATGTTCACACGTCTTGACAAATGTCATTGGATGAGATGACAACTCAAAAAACTGAGAATATCAAAGGATCTTTTTATACCTATCTGGTCTCACCTATCTATTTTAATGTGTTCATTTTTCCCTCTGTCTCCTGTCTGCCTCAGACTGTCTTCAGAATAGTCGTGCTCGGGATCTGGGACTACATAGAAAACAAAGTCGAGGTTTGTACTGCTGTTCTGTTTCTGTTGGAAGATCTGTAGGTTAATATACCTGTACATACAAGATTCATACGATACGTTCACAGACACAGAGTTGATGACAGGCCTAGAGGGTTAGGGTTAGGGCATCTGGCAGATGCTTATGATGCCCAACTACATTTGCCAATGTTGGAATTGCATCTACATATGCTTGTGTGTATGACCCCCCTCAGGTGTTCGATGGTGCTGTCATCGTGCTGTCGCTGGCCCCCATGGTGGCCTCCACGGTGGCCAATGGGCCCAGCAGCCCCTGGGATGCCATCAGCCTCATCATCACCCTACGCATTTGGAGGGTCAAGAGGATCATTGATGGTAAGGGATGCAAATAGCCCTGTCCATAGAAATTATATTTTAAGTTTCCTACAAGTGAGGTGGAATAATTTGTTCAGAACAACTTGAGGAAACATCTGCTCGTTCTTAACCCAGAGGGATCACACAAATACATAAAAACCAGCCAGCCTTGAAAGAGCTAAATGACCCCAATCTCTCCATGATTATACAAATTATTTACTATTCAGGACAATATGACTATTGATCATCCCCCAGTAAATTGCTGCCAGTCTGCTACTCTAACTTGTATTGATTGTAAGGGGCTGGTAAAGTAGATTCAGAGAGGCTATAATGAATATATTGGTCATTCTCCGTTATGCTAATGCGGACTAGTTCGATATCAGTGCGGAGGTCACCCTCGCCACAGGCCTCAGACTGCATACACGATCAGTGGCATTGAGACCACAAAGGCACTCAGTGTGCACTTTGCTTATGTCCTGTGAGGTGGTGGAAGCACAGGACAAGGTTATGTTTTCATCTGCGTTTGTTTGTACGTAAAAGCTACTCAACTGTTTTCCATTCCAGGTAGCATAACGATGTGGGGCACTTTAGGCAATGATGCAGAACTTCTGGCCTGAACACAATGGATGTGTGCCTGGTGTCAAATGTAGCCCAAATATCCTAAAACAAATGTGCGTCAGTTTTGCAAACATGCAGTTCTCTAGGCAAGGTGTAATCTAGACGTGAAACTTAAGTGACCTCTGTGGTAAATAGTGAATATGGCCTAAAAAGTACAAAACAAATCTGGACACCCTTTGGTCGACATGCAGTATTACTGGTATGTTGGCTGGATGTGGGATGTGGGCCGAATGTGGGCCAAAACTATTTTGCTTGGATGGATGAAGGTTTGTGCAGGGGAGGGGCATCCAAGGAAGACCCCAATACATTTTGGTGCAGATCCAGAAGAGGTGGCAAATTCAGGATTTTTTTCACCGTCCCTCTAACATTGTGAGATGAAAAGTTTTATTTACTTTTTTGATTTCTAAGAGAATAATTCATGAATCTTGATTAGGGGACTGATATTTATGAGTGTGTGCAATTTGGTGTCGATCCAAATTAAAATCAAGGACTAATGGATTTAAATGTGGTTTCATAAGGGGACTGTTGGGCCTCGGTGGAGATATGAGTAAATGCGTTTATTTGCTTTCTGCAGGACAGACAGTATTATACAAGATCATATTTTTAAAGAATCACATATGAACTATAAAGGACACACAACGAGCAATACTGATACTCTCTGGTGAAACATGTTCAGCAGGAGTAGCTTTCTCCTTAACGTGCAGCTGCAGTGTTGGTTTCCAGGGAATGAACTGGTGATTTTTCCCTCCTTCACTTCTCGACCTGTTGGTTTTGATCTTTTTGAGTGATTGAGTTTTGTTGTTAAGTGGGAGGCAACACACCTTAGAGCGGGAGGGAAAAAGAAATCACTCAAACCAGTAAATGTACAGCAGAGGGAACCACTCGGTTATTGTGGGAGAGAGATTGAGTCTCTAGCAGAATAAGCTTGACGTGTAAAGACGAGGTTTTTGAGTCGGACCGATACGGGAGTAGAAATAACAGAGGAGTGAACTGCATCAGAAGTTGCAGTGGTAAAAAAACAAAGGTGAATTTGGTTGTGTGTCGTAGGGGAGGAGGTCGAACAAAAGGAACCTGTATGAAAACAATCTGTGAAGTGAATTATGGGAGATTGTTTGCTAATTGTTTTACAAAAACACAGTGAGAAACTTAAACTAGACGATGAAATGTACATTGACTTTGTTGTGGTGCTCCTTACCCTGGATTATAGATACAATAAAACCATCACTCTCTGAGTTGTAATGATGACAGCGCCTCGAGAAGAGCCATGACAACAGGTTTCCAAATTTACCCTCAGTATCCTTTTTTAGGCACATCTTCACAATCTGCTGCGAAAAGTGTGTCATGTATAAATAAAACAGTGAGATTGTAAGAGGAGGAGATGGTGATCAGTCAAGATGTAATTTAAGGGTTTCATGCATCAGTTCCAGCATGACTACTTAACTATTTTTGCACAGTTTGAATTGTTGAATACATTAATCAGGTATTATGTATTCATTAATCCAAACAAAACAACCAATTAGCTGCAGTTTTGTGTGAAAAAAAGATGAATGACTTGAGCTGTGAAGAGGAAAAAAGAGGAGTGATGAGGAATGATGTCATGTCAGGCACATTACTTATGCCATTGTCATCCAGCATAACAAGATGAAGCAAGACTATAGAACATAAGGACTATATAGTTTAGTTGATATATCCATATTGATGTGCAAAGTAGTGCAGAAAATGTTTCTGTCTCCCTTAAGGTAATGGTTCTCTATTTTTCCCCTCCCCTGGAATAATTAAACTTAGCCTATTGTTTTATTTCCAGACTCACATATGATGGGGTTTTTAATTTATCCAGAAACACAGGCCCCAGTAGAGACTTTTTGACCAGGGTGAAATGACTCGTCACTGTGTAAAATCAACACCTGCGAGCTAGTTCATGCAGTCAGTTGGAGCTGCACTGCTTTAATCAATGTGGCAGTCTATTTAGATTCAAAGATTTCCCATCTCTCTTTGCTTGTCGATGTCTCAGCTGCCCTGTTTGGGCATCGCCTGCCTGTCGCTTCAGCCCCTCCACCACCCCAGCACCCGCCTGTAGGCTCTGACAGGGGCATTAGATAGATAGATGTACTTTATTGACTTTATTGAATCAACCTGATCCGTGATCGCTGTAGAAACTTAGCAACACCTTGCTAAATTCAGTCAGTACAGGTATAAGGTTACTAACTCATGAGGTTTCACAGACATCCGCGGAGCAAAGGACTAATGGTCCACTACCACTGACCTTTGACCTTGACTTGATATCCATGTTTCTCACCATAGCTGTTTTAAAGTCATTTGTTTATGTCATTTATTGGAACAAACTGATTTTTCTCTCTCATTCTCCTCTTCTGTGTTAGCATATGTGCTACAAGTGAAAGTGGAAATGGAGCTGGAGATTCAGCAGTGTGAGAAGACCAAGGCTGTGAGAGAGGAGCAGCTGGAGCGTCTCACTCAGATCTGCCAGGAACAGGCTGTAAGTGTAAAAAACACCTTAGATTTAACCTTATGGCCTGACTGCAGCCTCAAAATTAGCTTGTGACATAGCCACAGGAGAGACAAGATGTTTGTGCAACCACTGACAGACAAAATATTGCTGTCATATTGTTTGTCAGTATGTAAAAATTCATGCAGAACACACAATCCTGCATATATCATTTAGAAATAATTTCAAAAAAGATAAGGTGATGGTGACATACCTTGAATTTCATTGTGTTAGCAAAGTGGATTATGTAGTTGTTACAGTTTTATCTATTGGTTTCTATTTGACACTTTTTACCATCCTGGGAATCTAGTCTCTGTTGGAAACTCTGAGCTGTCACATTTACAGTGGAATTCACAGTTACATTTAAACCAAATGAATGAGTGTACAGTACTTACAATACAAAAAAAGTAATCAGAGATACAACTTTAAAACTTGATTACTGTACGCTATTGTGTGAACCTGTCATAAGGGATCTGATTCAATATCACAATTTTCTCATTTACTGCTTTCTATTGAAGTTTAAGTTAATTTATGGTCATATCACTGAAAAACTATCAAAAACTGAAACTGTCTGACATGGTCACTGATTTACTGAAGCTTTGACCATGTAAGAAACTGTCAGCTCAACTACCACCAGAGGAGGGCAGCAGTGCCTCACAAACAGGTTGAGTCAGTCCACATATTTCATCATGACTCCTCAGGGCACACACACACACACACACACACANACACACACACACACACACACACACACACACACACACACACACACACACACACACACACACACACACACACACACCATGATGAAAATGCAGACTATGATGAATAAATAAAATAATACTAAGTGCAGGTCTGAGACCAGACATAACAAATGAATACATTAATAATAATGATTGTAGAGGAAATTATCAGATCCCTCCAAATACTGTGTTTATCAAATCGATTCCCAGTCACTGTTTCAATGTACAAGGTGATACCTCATTATGTGTGTTGATTTATTGCCAGATATTCAGATTCATGTTTCAGTTTGGAACAGGATTAATGCACAATTCACCCTCTGCCTGAATTTTCACTTACTTTTTATTATATTTACACTTTAATGGTACCTTGTCAGCGGACTATGCACTCAAGGCCAAATACATTGAAATCAATGTGGAGAAACATCAATGGTGTGTATGAGAAAAACATTCAATAATACAGAAAAATAGTTTATATGACCTGTCAACAGACAATATATCTCAATACAGACACTTAAAGCAGTCTCTGTGTGTTTGCTGAGTTTTCGGTGAGTCTGAGCTGATAATGTATTTTCATCCATTGATCTTCCTGTATCTATTACTTATAATTTGGCCTTGATTCAACCCCTCAGATAAAATATTTCTCTCTTAGATTTAGTAAATCTAAAGGAATGTGTGTTACAATATGATATGATGCAAAATCAAGGAGAATTGCTATATATGTTCACTTTGTTGAAATTTAAGCAGATCATTTTCTTTTCCTCTTTTCTTCCCCCCATATTTGTCTCATCTTTTCTCCTCATCATGTTTATCACTCCATCTTCCTTTTCTCTCTTTCCTCCCTGTTCTGTTTTGTCCTATCCTATTTCATCCATCTCTCTCCTCACACCTCTCATGTCCATTTTTTTAAATCCCCTTTTACTGCCTTTGTTCATTCACACTCTTGACCGTTTGCTTTTCTCTCTTTTTTGTTGCTCGTGCACAAACGCATGCAACACAATAATCTGCAGTTTGAGATCAGGCAGCTCAGGGCCCATCTGGCCCAGCAGGACCTGGACCTTGCAGTAGAACGTGAAGCAGCCATGCAAATCCACCACGTCTGGGGCAAACAGGGCAGGAGTTTTCAGGTTGTTGAAGGCTTGACTCCCGGGGAGTCGGATGATGAGGGCGGCCAGAGAAACCCCAGGGAGCCCAACACCACTGCAGGTATCTGTATTTGAATACTGAGGTAAAGAATACACTGATAATATATGAGTTGGTTCTAAAATATAATTTCTCAAACTGAACATGGGTCTAATAGGCTTCTTAGACAAAGAGCTAATGCAGTGTTTGCTTGAGAAAGCAGCATGACAAACCTGGAGAGAGGTGCAGCATAAAGTATGCACATAATTATGTGGAACAAAAAGACTCCAATGGTGTAACATCAGGTGAACTGGATGCCACAGCAGTGTACAGTTAATCTGAAGCGGTAGCCCTGGAGCATCTTCGAGGCCAGGCTCTTAGCCCCCACATGCTCACACACAACACCCATCTGACCGCAGGCGCTCTGGGATCAATATGGATGGCAAAAAAGCTTTTAGGATCTGGTGAATCCTGGAGAAAACAGGCATGTTCCCCCACACTACGTCAGGCCACGCAGGCTCCTGTCTGCTACAACTATCTCTCTTACTGCCCCCCCACGTGGCGAGGCCAGCCAAACCAACGCCGACCACTCGGGCTATTTCAGGTACAGAGTGCTCTGTGAATTGGGCCTTGTTAGGAAAGGAGTGGGTTCCTGTCAACATCTGTTCCCCTTCACCTGCAAACCACAATAGGGCACCGGGAGGCTCCACAGCGGCCACAGAATCACCCCAAGGGCATAGTGGGAAATCTGGCTCTCAGAAACAAGTGGGGCTTTTTGCAGAAACATGGTCACTGGGATGAGCACTTAGGCCACAGAGCTTGAGGCAAGTCAGGTCAACTCAAATCAAGTCGAGTGTATTTGTGTCGCCCAATTTTGCACAGAGTGTCTGGATGGGTATTCTCTCTCGCTCACCTGCAGAGAGCCGTCACACTGTAAAGACCTCTGGCCCAGGCCGCGGCATTCATGAGGATGATCGTGACTCACAGGAGATTGGTGGTTCTGAACACAAGTACAAAGTACTGAACCATGTAAATTTAAAGAACAATCATTGGCAATCAGTGTTAATCAATGAGCCAAGCAGTTTTCTCACAGATGCAGTGACAAGACTGCCACAGAACAATAAAACAGATTTACTGCAACAAAGAAAGATCGGCATGTTTGGTTGGAAGCAACATTTATATTTTTATATTTCTGTATCTGTCAAACAGTCCAAAAATAGGCTTTGGAAACATAGTAGATATTTGCAAGGTAACAGGAAGCACTCAGACTGAGTCCACAGCCCCTACCAGGTCTGTGACATACAGTATAAAGTCTATGATCTGTGCGGCTTTACTAGAATGGTGCTTTGAGTTAATGCTAATGTAAGTATTAACTGAATATGGTAACATGCAAACGCTAAGCAGGTATCATATTCGGTGTGTTAACTATCTTACTTTAGCATGTCATGCTGCAATTAGCTAATTAGCACTAAACCCAAAATACAGCTGAGCCTGACTAGAGTTAGGGTTCTGAACCAAGTTCTGAACAAAGTGAAGTTTTACTGAATGAAAAGTCAGGGAGTTGTTTTGTTGACACCAGTTTTGTGGATTCATGCTATTTTATTGTATATTATACTGGACAACCAACAGACTGAGACAAGCATGCTATAGCCATGCTGCTCTCATGGCTAACAAAACAAATATACTCTACTGTGTATTAAATCTACCAAAGAAATCAAAGACTATTTCTTTCAGCAGTGGTGGAGTAAGTACACAAACATTTTACTGAAGTAAAGGTACAAATAATTAGACTAAAAAGTCCAATTATCACATTAACTAGGAAAAGGGTGAACGCAAACCTGCTGCATGTATCCTTCTCCCTAACTCAGTTGTCAACTCCATCATTATAGCTGATCCACGGTGGGGGCGTCATCCAAATCCATTTTAGTGGTTTCTTCACCAATGAGTGCTGGCAATGTAGGCATTGATGGAGGCGGGGTTTAATGTTGTCTGCCTGCTCTGATTGGATCAGTAAATACTTCTCCTTTCGGTATTAACAACTTTAAAATATATATATAAAACAATGTGAACATGTAAAACAAGTAGTACAAGAGTACAAATTTGATGAGAATAAATTATTAGTAATGTATCATTAGTTGCAGTGGTTGCTAATCTTCCTGACGTGGATCTGTGGTAAAGAAAAAACAGCTCACACTTCAAAATGAAAGTTTACATCTGAACTGAAAGGACCTGAGCATGGCACCTCTCCTCTTCCACAGACAGATGACAGCCTGCTAACTTGACTATCACAGACAGAAGAGGACAGTCTTTTATATCTGCTGGACAGCCCATTCTTTTTTTTTCTTTCTTAAGACTCATGTGTTATTAATTGTGGAGTGATTGTCTCAGTCTTGTTTTAGCGAGTGCAATGCTTCCTCTCCAGGGGTGGCTCAGGGATTAATATTTCAGACTGAAAAATAAATGAAATTACCTATCAGAGTCTCCGGCGTGTCCCGGGGGACAGGGGCTATAGCACTCAGGGTACTCTGGGTTCGCACTCAGCCAGCGGACAGTGAGCTCAAGTCCAATCAAGCGAACAGAAGAGCATGGCGGATCACAGCCAGTCACCACGCACACTGAGGCCTGCAGGACCGGGGGGATCAGAGTCTGAACAAAGAGCTCCCACTCTCCTTCTCCCCCATTTCTCTCGTCCCTGTAACCAACCCCACCCTGTCCGAGCTTCTATCTGGTGCACCAGGGTGCAGCTAATGCTGAGTGAAGCTGTCAATATTATGTTGTAAACATAAGGGATATTTTCCATTTGGACTATTTTGCACTGTTAACAATGACATTGACCAAAATACCTGCAGAGAAAAAGGTGTGAAATCCAATTACAGTCGTTTACATTATATTGAACCCTTCATTTAAATATAAACTGCTATTTAATTAAATCTCTGGTGCATTCTGAATTTATATTCTACATATAATATGCATCTAATCCAAACAGTATATTATTTCTATGTGCATTTATTTTTGTGTAATCCACCAGTTCAATTAAAACTATGCGGATGATACAAATTATAATGACAACATGTTTATTCAGTTAATTTAACATTTTATAATAATATGTATAATACCAATATCAGCTGCAGAAAAGATTAATGACTGAGGTAATATATATTGAACTTAATGTAGCAGGGGTTCAATGAAAAATGGCTACATGCGGACATGGAGGAATAAAATATAAACAGAAGAATGAAAAGAATATGAATATTATTTTGTTGTAATTATAATTATTATGCAGGTACAATTCATCTATAATCTGACATGAACAAAGTCGAGTAGTAGAGTCCAAACACATCAGTGTTTTTGTCAGAAAATTTTGTTAAAATAATAATAATAATCATCATCTCATCATTTTGTTTATATTTATTTATTCATTGACTCAGATCCAGTTGGACATGATGACATGAACAACTACATCAGCCAATACTACAGTGAAGCAAGCAGTGGTAAGGAACTTAACATTTAGTAGATATTTAGATTTAAATGCAAAAAATATTAAGACATTTTAATTGTTTACTTCTGATGGATTTATTATTTGTTATTATTTTTCCTCTAAATTTACTGTTACATTTAATCAGGCGCAGGTAATACGTCCGTCTGGTTGACACAGTTCACTGCTGTGAGTTAATTGTGAATTGAATGAAGTAGTAATTACTTTTATCTGTGTTGTCTGACTTTTCCTAATTGTAATGAAGATGCCGGGGCTTCTGGCCTAGGCACTCGGATCATCACCATGGCAGCCATTGACGTTCACCTCCCCACCAACACAACTCCTGTTCAGTCCAACCCGATGCTTGCGATGGAGCGGGTGGGCAGCGCTGTAAGCGACGCCTCCACCAGCATAATACAGTCCAGTGGCAGCCTGACGGCCCGGCCCCACAGCCTGAGCAGCCACACCCCGGCCTCATCTCTGACAGACTGCAGCAGCAGCAGCACGGCTCAGGGCCTCAGTCTGAACTACAGCTCCCATCGCTGCTGCCCTCCTTCCTTCTCAGGCCAAGACCCTAGGGACCCCAGCATGATGGTGCAGGAACTACTCTCCTCCCTCTCTGAGGCGCCCTGCCTCGCCCAGAAGGGCCTGGTGGTGGACCCTGTCAACCTCAAGCTTCCTAGCCCTACGGGCTCAGAAAAGGCCAGTCCCGAGCTGGACAACAGGATAAACATCTTCAACCGCAGGAACCAGGAGGAGTGGAGGGGCCGGGGAAGGGGCTGCGTGCTGTTGCAGACCAAGCCGCTGATCCACCTACAGGGCGGCACCACTGAGCCATCCCTGGAGGAGAAGTACCGGCTCCTGGGACCAGCTGACACACCTCTGGGGCACATGTCTGACACATAAACTACGTTTACACAGAAACAGGACTTTTTTTTTTCTTTTTACCGCCACCGTGATTGGCACCAATCTGAACTCCAGTGGCAGGTTTAACCTCATGAGAGCGACCACACAAGATTTAAAATGTTTCCGTTGCTGTGTAAATCCAATCCTGGCCAGTCCAGAGCGAGCTTGAGCCTTCACTTTTAGCTGACACTGATGCTTCTTAACTTGACGTGTTCAGAGCCCTTGAACAGAAATGGTGACCAGAACTCTTACGCCTCTTTGTCATACCGGCCCTGTTCCTCTGTGATGGATTTTGAAAATCATAAACGCCCTGAAATAGCACAAACAAAACCAGACAATATCCCAATAACAGGGAGTCTTATAATGTGTTCTGTGACACGTTCTTCATCAGGAATTCTCACTTTGGTCCTAAATGCACTGAACCTAATGTGAATTAAAACCAGCAAGGGTCCATTCAAGCCTATACTGAACAAAAAGTAATGCTGAACAAACCATGACACCGATCTCTGAAGTTAAAAAGATTTTTTTCTTGATATTATTTTTATTTTTATTTGTTTCACCGACTTCAAACTTTCATCATGCTGTCTTTGTTGAAACAGTCACAGGGTACATAAGACTGGCTTATATTCAAACAATTTTCTTCTTTTTTTTACCTTTTGGCTTTCTGTCACCTATTTGTTTGGAACATCAGAATTAATTGAACAGAACTTTTGTTTTAGTAGAGTATATTTGTGTGGGTGAGATGAAACGTTAAATGACTGGATTCTTAAAATAGTACTAGACTGGAGTGCTTGTAGCATGAACCTTTAAAAAAGATAATGTGCCCTAAATGGGAAGCAAATTCTTTGCACTTTAATGTTTACAGACACTTTTGTAAACTTGGTATATGGAGGACGTAATTGCCAAATGCAGGTGTTGTCATTTGAATGAAAATAGCAAAAATAAACGTTAGTATTTCCTTATTTGCTCCTCGTTTACTGACTTTTATTGATTAAGCTACTTTAATTATTTTAAAGCTGCACCATAGACGCTACCGTGGCGTCAAACACTTGTGATCCAATGACGATCATTGGGCAGACTCTTGTTCAACATTAGTTGATCATCATCTCCTTATTTGCATATGAATTTGAAAAAGTCTAAATTATTTAAGGTTATCAACATAAGAGGACCTGTCACAGCAACTGCTAATTGTTCAAGTCATTATAAGTGTGACGTGAGAAGAGCCAGCTCCCTAATTACCCCCGATAGTATCATTAATTCACAAGATAAACTGCTGTACCATTTTGTTGCTTGTCAAATGTTTACAAGTATCCAGAGAATCTTTTAATTGTTAATAACTCTTACAGCTGCAATTAATCTATCAACACAAATGTCTTTCAAATTGAAGTACTTAATTTACAGAACTGTTCCGGAGGATTGTTTGTAACCGCTTTAAATGTTCACTTAATTTATTATTAATGTGTTTGTAAATGGCACATACTTATACACACAGGCATATACATGATAAATACATCGAAGAATATCATCAGTATTAGTTTCTAAGATTACTGTGTGTAACTTTGAACACTTATTCTCTGTTCATTTTTTCAATGTTGACAGTTGAGTGTAGACACATATATTTGATGCAATTACATCACACCTTTGGAGAACAGCCCAGTAACATATGAACATATCAATACCAATTTTCCAGTGATCAGATTATTCTCTTGCACACACAGTGGGTGTATTTCCACTGATAAAGCACCGGAATAGCTCTTCTCATATTCAAAGGTATGGGAGCCAGGGACTGTTTGAGTGACAAGTGGTGACACAGAGAGCGGATGTTGAAAAATTAAATTAATTCAGCATGTGAAAGCCCTCAATGTGCTATGAGAAAAGAGGAATGAAAACACATCTATGCAATTTGACTCTGCGTATCCACATTTAAATTGGAGTCTAATCTCTGCAACTGGAGTCATCTAACATTTGGATATGAGACATGACATATTTTGCGTCACTTTTCTCATACGTTTTGTGTAAAAGGAAAATGTTATTTTTGAATGGATTGTTCAGTTTTATTGACAGCAGCCATCATACCCAGGTTGTATTTTCAGCGCTGCCTTTTCATGTAAAGAAAAGTGGCGACAAAGGGATCGCATCGCTCGACTAACCTCTGCCCATGGTGAACAAACCCACCCCACACACATTTGCAGATCTGCAACGTCCAACATTTGGCAAAAACCATGTGTAAAACATTAACAACAATCATCTTGTCCGCCTGAGTTGTCACTGAGGAGTTATGTGTATTTCCAGCTCTTGGAAAGAAACTCTAAGTCTTCTATGCCACTAATATATTTGTATACATTAACAGATTTTTCTACATTTTCAGATTCTGAATACACATTTGTAAATTTGTATACATAAGCACATATCTGTATACATTTGTGGATTCTTTTACACATTTACAAAACTGATTACACACACGGAGATACAGAGATAACTCTCCACACACAAGCGAAAATTCGATTGCAGAAATATTGGCCTTCTTAAACTCTAAACATTTCTCAATTATAGTTTTGACTCAAAAGTAAGTTCTCAGACTCAACCAGTTTTCAGTAGCTTACTGTGACGTGGTTCATTGAAATGAGTTAACATGTAAGTTAATGACCTGCACCTGCAACCTGCTTGTAATTACCAGACCCCTCACATCAATCTAGTTTACAAAACCAACAATATCTTCTGCCATGGGACTAATACATAAATAATGATCTGCTTGGCTGTGGACACGCACAAAGGAATCTGTTGAACACTGGGTCCAGACCCTGGCTCGGCCTCGGTGTGTCACGGCTGCCTTGATATTAACACCTCAAGTGGAGGTGCTGCGCCTCCTGAACCCTCTCCAGCTCTACCAGCCATGGAAAGGAAGATATGAGTAAGACGGCTTGGCTCTAAGCTTTGCAGCGCTGGGATGAAGCTAAATTGTTTGTTTGTGTGAGGCGACTGTAAGGAAGTAAAAACTGAGGATAGAACACATGATGTGAAGTGCCTTTACAACTTCAGTATAAATGAAAAGTGAGCCTGAATGATTCATATGAACCCAATTTGCCAATACGTATCATAGTGTGAGTTAAGACTCCGATTTTGACAGGCGGGGACACTGAGCAGACCTTCAGGAGACATGTTAAGAAGTAAATTGCTTGTGGGACCTCTCCAGTGAAACCAGAGGTGTAGTCCCTGTCACACTCACAGGAAGCTGAGTGAATTAACAGTGACCATTAGACATTTAATAATTGAGATGTTTTAATAACGGCACAGAGGGAGTCACTTAAACTGCATTAACATTACATGATCATTGTTCTCATTCTAATTAATGAAGGGAAAGTGATGACCTCTGAGGTGAGACTTACATCGACCAACTCGTAAGTGATATAAGATTCTGACTTCTTTCATTCCTTCCTTATTTACAATATATTGTCTATTACTGAGTCACTATAGTTGTGGAAACACGTCTATTATACAGGATTTTACTTTAAGTATTCTCCAATTAACAAATGTATTTTTGTGGAATTCAGAGTTTTGAATTCCATTTATTGAGTGAACATTTTATTTACCATTTAGTTGCTGTATTTTCTGCAAGGGCTGCACTTTAATTTTAAATACCATTACAATTAGATATACTGTATTGCTCTAATTTTACAATCTGTATTTCATGTCGATGCAACTATAAGCAGGTATGCATTATGCTCACCACAATCGTTGAATATGACTCAACAGCTAGTTTTTATCTTTAATTTTTTTTAAATATTTCGTATATCAAATGCACTGGTCACCTGTCTTTAACCATTTAACAGCAATGTATTCTTCATAAAGCTGTTTCCACAGAACATACGTCCACAATCTCTACAGGTGATTTAAAGCAGCAATAATTGATCATATGACCAGTGTTATGTGAATGGTATCGCTCATATTGATCTGCACAGAGATATATCTTCTGACATTGCAGTTCCTCTCACTCCTCTGGGTTTCATCACATTTAATTGTTTTGGTTTTCTGGCCTCTAACTTTATTGCTTTGGTTCACTGTTGCTGCTCTAATTGCTTTGTTTTCAGCCGCGTCTTAGCTGGTGATCATATGTAGCATTTAGAAGCTGAAGAGCCAGCTCACAAGAGCTAACAATAATAATGTTTAACTTAAATTCATCCAGTTGGTCAAACTAAAAAAATAGTCCAAATTAAAGGTCCAGTGTGTAAGATTTAGGTGACAAGGATCTATTGGCAGAAATATAATATAAAATAATTCTCATGATGTTTTGACTAGTTTGTTTCATCTGAATTGTAGTTTCCTCTACCCCAGTAAAGGCTCTTTATATTTAAATACTTTATATTTACATTGGGGGGGTCCACTCTACGGAGGCCGCCATGTTTTTTATGTTAGTCCAAACTAAACACCTTTTGAGTTTCTATGACAACTGAAGGCTACCAGTTGTCTTTTTCATGTTTGGGAGGGGAGGGTGAGGTAATGAGTGTTCAGCTGCAAGATGCAACTTCAACACTATATCATCATTCTACACACTGTACCTTTAATGTTAATGTTAAAAGGTAATATTATAAGATTCAAGAGATCTCATTTTAAATGCCTCATACACACAAGAGAGACTACAAAAGAATGGAGGCTATGAGAGACTATTAAAATATATATATATGATAAAAATGTAAAAATATACAAGGAAACAAAATAAAGACAGTATAGAAAACTCTTGAATGAAGCGACAAATCCAAATCAAGTGACAAACCTGAATAGAGAGGACACTGCACAGAAAGTTATTGCACACATAATTAAAATAAACATTGCATTATATGTCGAGGTTGTTTCTGCAGCCTCCAGGTGATCAAAAAGTAGGTTTATGTTTTCATTCTTCCAACTTTTGTCAATTGTTTTTAGCTGTCAAGCTGTAAATTGACATTCTCATTAGTTGGTATTTTTTGTAGCCCATGTATGACTAAACGTGCCCCTACAGAGTACTGAAAACTGCAAATACTGCAGAGTTGATTATTCTCGTGTTATTATTCTGCCAGTTCACTTCTTCCTCTCAGGGTGTTTGTGACAGTTGACTGAAAAAAAACCTCCCACACTTCTGTCTGATTGTGGACAAAATGTGTGACATTAAACAAAATAAGAAAAATTCCAAATAGGATTTTCATATATGATTTTATGAGTAAAAAATGTGTTTTCTGTAAAAGAGACATTTACTGATTTATGCAAACAACACAAGGGTAGTCTTGTTTATGAACGTGATTTCTTCTCGAGTGCTTGGAAGAGATTGTGAGTGTCGCAGCCCTATGGCACCGAACAGCTGGGCATAATGTTGAAAAAGGGTCAATCTCATTGAGAAGAAATAGATGTGGGGAGAGTGACTGCATTACTGCGGTGGGCTGACAGATTCAGAACACGTCTCACACAGGACACTCTTTCAGGAGGCTCTGGAGCAGGAGAAAAATACAAATAAATTATACATCGTTCTTTAAAAAGCTTCTCAGGTTCTCTTTTTGAAACATACTTCTTAAGTGCTCATGGATCCAACGGTTCGCCTGGTGGAAGAAATCCACTCAGGAGACTGTTGTCATGGCTACTGAAGGTTTTTTTTTATTTAAATACACAACAGTTCTTCTGGTACCCGTCACTCAAGATGGTTGTGATGCTTCTTGGGTAAAAGTGGGTCAATAACAGAAAAAAAATAGAACCAAAAACCCAGACCCACTGAATGACTAAGCTCAATCACTTCAGTCCTCTTGAGATAAAGATATTCATTATTAAATCAGTATGTGGTAAATGTAAATCTTTTTAATGTGCTGATAGGATCAAAATATGAACAGAAATGAAGCTATAAATGTAATCTTGAGTTTTAT